GGGGGGAGGAGGAGGAGGAGGAGGAGGAGGAGGAGGAGGCGGAGGAGGAGGAGGAGGAGGAGGGGGGGGGAGGGGAGGAGCGGGGAGGAGCGGGGAGGAGGATAAGTTGGGGATAAGGACGAGGACGTCGACGACGACGACGTCGGCGACGACGACGGCGAGGACGGCGACGGCGACGGCGCCGACGACGCTGGCGACGGCGGCAGCGGTGAAGTCGACAAAAACGGCGACGGCTGCGACGACGACGGCGACGTCGACGACGACGGCGACGCCGTCGTCGAGTCGTCGACGACGCCGTCGCCCCCCATCTCTCATCCCCTCCGCCGCCCCTCCTTGGCGAGGACAACCTCAAGGCGCTCGTCGGGATGTGCGAGCTCGGCGGATGCCAGCCTCTCGCGCGCGGTGGCCATCGCGGCGCCCCTGGGAGGGTCGACGCCGCCGGCGACCGACGACGACGACGTCGACGACGACGGCGGCGCGTTGGCGTCGATTGGGCGGCGACGGCGACGGCGACGGCGACGACGGCGACGGCGAGGACGCCGACGGCGACGGCGACGACGACGACGCCAGCGATGGCGACGGCGACGGAGGCGCGACGTCGACGAAGACGGCGACAGCGGCGTCGAAGACGGCGACGACGACGGCGACGCCGTCGTCGTCGTCTACATTGTTGCCTCCCGCCCTGTCTACCCCTCCCCGCCCCGCCCCTTTTCCTCGCCCTGTCTGCCCCTACCCCCCCCGCCCTGTCTACCACGTCTACTCCTCGACTGCTTCGGAAGGGAGGGCAGGTAAGATGTGGGCCATCGGTAAGGACAGGTTCGGCGTGTTCCACAAGAACACAGAGGTCCGCGCGGCACGGGGGTCGGGTCGGGACGGGCGGGAAGGGAACGAGGCAGGGGAGGAAGGAACGGGACTCGGTGAGGCGGTGAGGCCAGACGGGCCATGGGGGAGGGGCCATAATCACCTGGGCGTGGGTTGGGATGCACATGCAAATGTGTAATGCGCGTGCAGATGGTTCTCTCTCTTTTCCCCATCGTTGTGTTTATTTACATATCTTTCCGCAGCAAGGCACCCCTGTTGTATATGCACATCTAAACATGCATGGCATATGTTATCCTCCTCCTCCTTCTCCTTCTCCTCCTCCTCCTCATCATCATCCTCCTGATCCTCCTCCTCCTCGTCCTCCTCCCCATTCCTCTCCTCCTTCTCTTCATCCTCCTCCTCCTCTTTCCCCATCCTCCTCCTTCTGTTCCTCTTCCCCCATCCTCCTCCCCCTTCTCCTCCTCCCCCTCCTTCTTCCGAAGGCCCGATCTCTCGGATTCGCTCGCCGACTCGCCGCCCCTCGAGCCGCTCGGGGCTATAGCGGCAGCTCGGACGTCGTGAACGTCGCCCATCCCCCCCCCCGCCCGCCCCCCCCCCTCTCCGCCTCGCCGCCCACAAAAGGCGAGAAGGAGGAGGAGGTGGCGGAGGGGGGAGGCGCGGGGGGAGGAGGAGCAGGAGGAGGAAAGGGAAAGGGGGGGGTGGAGGAGGAGGAGGGGGGGCGTAGGAGGAGGTGGGAGGAGGGCGAGGAGGAGGTGGAGGGAGGATAGGAGAATGGATAGGGAAGCATAGGAGAAGGAGGATGCCGAGTAAGTGGAGGTGAGGAGGGGGAGGAGAAGGTGGAGGAGGAGAAGGAGGTGTAGGAAGGTGGTATGATAGGATGTGGGTGATGAAGGAGGGGTGCGCGTTGCGCGGGAATCGCTGAGAGCACGTGTGCCTAAGTCTGCGTCTGCGAATACGTGTTTGAATATTACGCTGTGCCCCATCTCTGCAGGGTCTGATTGTCTTTCGGTTTCCTGCCCCATACCCCCCAAATGCCCAATCGACCAAGCGCGGGAGGTGTTGGCCCCTGGCGTCAGCAACTTGTTCGAGAATTTGCTAGTGTACCCCCGCCCGATGAATTTCATGAAGAAGCACGTGCTCCTCTGCAAGCCCTACAGTATGGACCGCGTTTTCGCGGCAGATCGGGCACCCAGGGGGAGACAGCGTCGGCGGACCCAGCTCATGGGCTGTGGTGGGGGATGAGACGGAGGAGAAGGAGAAGGAGAAGGAAAACGAAGGAGGAATGGAATTGATAGGCGGGGTTGTTGAAGGCTATGAGGAGGAGGATGGGGGGGGGGGGAGGAGGAGGAGGAGGAGGAGGGCGAGGAGAAGGATAACCCGAAGTCTCACATAACCCCTGTTTCTCACTCCCGAACCAATCTTCACCCAGCGCCTGCTACTCACACTGTTTTGACCCTGCATCCTGCCGCCGAGTGCGCTTCCTCTCGCGAGGACGGGGGGGGAGAGGAGGAGACGACTGAGAGGGCAGGAGGGAGGAGAAGGAGAAGGAGAAGGAGGAGGAGGAGGAGGAGTAGCAGGAGCGAGTCTGAGCGCACTGACGTGAGGAGCGGACGTTCGGGAGGTGAGGAAGTTGACGAGGAGGGAAGAGTTCAGCGCAGCTGGAAGGAAGTTGGACAAATGAGACCTCTCCCCATCTCTCCCTCCCGCACCTCCCCCTTCGCTCGGACCCCGCCCCGCCGCCCTGCCCCGTCGCTCGTCTGCCGTTCCGGAGAAAGGGGCCCTGAGGCCCGGGCTCCTTCTCAGCCGTGTCCTCCTCCTTCTTCTCCTCCTCCCCCTCTTTCTCCTACCTCCTGTCCTCCCAGTCGTCTCCTCCTCCTCCTCCAGCTCCTCCTCCTCCTCCTCTCCTCCTCCTCCCCCTCCTCCTCCTCCTCAGTCCTCTAAAGGGGCGCCCAGCGGCGTCCCAAAGGGGAGGTGTTCCCTGCGGGCCCAGTGCGAGCTCCAAGCCACGCTCTTCCTCCTGCGAACCGCATGGCGATGGAGCACGTGGGCCCGCTGCACAATGTGGATATGCTGAATGGCAGGTGGGCTCCTGTCTCGGGGCGCGTGTAGATTGTTGGGCAGGTCTGGGGCAGGTTAGGGGTCAGCGCTGAGCACGCGTGTGCGATTGTAGATTGCTGGGCAGTTCCAGGGCAGGTTAGAGATCAGCGTCTACGCGTGCTCGCTTTGTCATCCTGAGCCTCGGCCTGTTGACGGGCTGACGGGGGCAGCAGGGCAAGGGGAGGCAGCTCGCTGGTGGCTGGGACTCCGAGACCAACTGCTTCCTCACCAGCTGCTACGTGCCAGCCGTCGACGCCGAGGAGCTCGGCATGCTCAACCACGGTCCTCCTCCTCCAGTTGCAGCACGGCTCGGAGTTCCTTCCTGCCGCGAGACTTGCAAGGCGCTGCTGACCCTCGCCGTTCGATGTTGAGTGGCACCGTAATCCCTCGCTCGATCGACGGTCGTCGCCGATGCCCGCTATGCAGACGTCTGTGGTGGATAGAAGCATTGCATGTACATTGTTTGTATATATATGCACATATCTACACGAAAGTATAGATGCCGTTCTGGGCGTTTCGATGCGTGCTTTCCGCCTCACCGCGCCGCTACCCCCAGCCACCTCTACGCAACAGTACATGTGCATTCGCTGCGCCCGTGGGCACTGACTACTGATACACTTGGTCACACGCATGGACATGTGGTACGCGTGCACAACAATGTCTACACCCTCCCCCTTACCTGTCAACGGCAGCGAAACATCCCGCACCCTCCCAGTGCCCCCCCGCGCCTCGGCCCCGCAGACGTGCATGACCGGCCGGACGGGCTGCCTGAAGTGCAAGATGTGCTGCCTGCACCTGGACTGGGGCTTCGGGCCAGAGCTACAGAATGGGCAGGATGACGATGAGGCGAGGGCGAGGGGAGGAGGAGGGCAACAAGGGCAAGGTGAGGTGCTTTTGGCTATTGATTAGCAGCGCAACGGGGCAACGGCCGTGACAGAGATGAACGCAACGACCGCAACGACGGCGATCACGATGCCGACGACGATGACGATCATGATGACGACGAGGGCAGTGATGATGACGATGACGATCGTGATCACGATGACGACCACGGCGATGACGTTGCTGAGTTAGGTAAGTATGATCATTACCATGGCGATCAAGTGGGTGGTGCTCATGGCAGTGGTGGTGGCGTTGCTGATGGTAATGCTGATGACGGCGGCAGATGAGGCAGCGAGATCTTCATGTGTCTCCGCGTCCCGCCGTCTCCTCCTTCTCTGTCCTCAGGCCCGCCCTCCGCCCTCTCTCCCCATCTCCCCTGTTTCCTACTTCTTCCCTGCTCCTCCTTTGTCCTTGTCGTTCAGGGCCGTCGGTCAGTCGGTCTCCATCTCTGCTTCCTCAGGGCCCACTCATCGGATCTCGTAGTGGGCGCCAGGCTGGTGACACCATAGAGTATCTGATGGGCAGGGTCGAGAAAGCGCAGTTGGAGATCGACGCTCTCACGTGGGACATGGCATTCGACGAAGCAGACATCCTGGCGGCACAGGCCGCGGCGGCGGTCACCTTTCTCACATATTGTCCTCCTCCGATCCTTCTCCTCGTAAGCTGCCTCCACCACGAGAAACGCAGGCGAGAACAGCACCCGTGATCTCCTCGATATCCTGCGCGTGCGGGTGGGGCTCGGATATCCAGCCAGCGCGAGGTTCAAAGCCGACGCTGAGGCTGAGGATAGGCGTGGGCAGGAGGACGATGAGGAGGGCGAAGGGGGTAGGCGCAGAAGTAGGTAGAGGGGGGCCCCGAACAAGGGAGGAAGGCTAGATATGATGGCAGACATTGGCAGGCGATGGGGGAACGAGTCCCCCCGACCATCCTCTTCTCCTGCTGTCGCCTCTAACTCCTCTAACTCATTATCCTCTTGTCCTGTCTCCTCCAATTCCTCATCTTTGCGCGCTGGTTCTGCTGCGTTCTCCATGCGAATTCCATCCACCGTCGCTGCCTTCGTCGCACTTCGCTGTCGCCGCGAATGTTTCGGTGGATGGCTCGTTTGTTTTCCTTTACCCCCCTGCCCTTGAATGGTAGCCCTCGCCGTCGACCCAACAATCCACTTGCGTCGAGACAGCGCTGGAGAGGGGGGCGGGCAGGACCCGTCCGACAAGGGCCCCTCGGCGTTCGCCTTCTTCCAGCTGGCCCGCACTCCCGATCACCAGAGCGCCTTCTTCGTGATTGAGAACCAGTGTTTCGCGGTCCGCCAGGGCCTCACCGCGGTCGTGGACGCCGCCAAAGTTGCCCACGGGATGTGGGCCCCGCGCGATTGCCAGTGGCCTTTCATTGGCTGCGCTTTTGTGCGCAAGCAGTGAGGTGAGTGAGCGTGGCCTTTCCTTTTCAGTCGTCGTGCCGTTTCTCGCCAGTGCGAGAGTGACTGTCAGTCACTGTGTCCCTCGTTATGCAGCAGGCAGGCAGAGATTGAGCGCAACCCTCGTCTCATTCTTCCCCCATGGCACCCGTCCAAAGGCAATGAGGAAACGAGACCCAAATCCCAGCCTCCAAGTCGGGTAACCCTCTCTCGTCGTATCCAGCCTACTCGTTGTGTCCAGCCTCACTCCTCCAGGCTCCTTTGTCGGTGCTTCTACCTCTACCAGCACCATGAACTTTGATTTGGGGCGTGGGCTCGTGCAGCTCCAGCTGCAGCTTCTAAGCGGGTGCAGCAGTGCGCCCGAGACACATGTATATTCTCAGATGAATATATCAGTTTGATTCTGCCTGATTGGACCAGCGGCTGTGACCGTGGCCTGCTCTCTTGGAGGGGAAAGAAAAATGGCCCCTCGCCAGTCAGCGGGGAGGTGAGGCACTCGGAAGCAGCTCTGCGAGCGAGGTGCGAAGTGCGATCGGCTCGGCCTGGACGAACGACGAGGAGGATCACCAATGCCACCACGACCTCGACGAGGACGACAACGACGACGACGACGTCTACGTCGATCACGACGACGATAACGACGACTACGACGACGACGACGAAGGCGTCGACGAAGCCGACCTCGAGTCGTGATGCCAGGAACGGGGTATCGGGCCGATAACCCCGTTCCTGGCATCACGATGCCGCCGATAACTTATCGGCGATAGCTTTTGGGCTTTTGAGCTCGTCGCCGCTGCCCCCTGGGACGGGCTGACGGCCTCCCTCCCTCCCGCCCCCCTGCGGCCCCCTTCCGCGGGCTGGCATCGCCTGGCGTAGCCGAGCCAGCCGCTGGTCATGCACCTGGCGGCGCGGCGGCGCAGCGCAGCAGCTGCGCGAGGCCGCGAGGCCATTCCTTCCTCGCTCTCGCCTTCCTCCATTGCGAATGCAGTCCCTTTGTCTACCCCTTGTCGTCGCCGTTGTCAGCGTGAAGACCTTCTTGTGTTCTGGCCGCCCCCCCGCGCTTCCTCCTCCTGGCCCGCCGATCGTCGCTGCCTGGCTGCCCTCATTGCGGGAGCAGTCGTTGGTTCCAATGCCATCCCTCAAGCCCCTCAAGTCCCTCGTGATTCGTGGTGTTGTTCTGGCTCCTGCTCCTGCTGCTGCTCCTGAGGAGGAGCAGTGCTCCTCCTCCTTCTTCCCCTCCCCCCTGCTCTCCTTCTCCCCCGCCTCCTTCTCCGCCTCCTCGCCCCCCTTCCCCTCTGTTCCTGGATCTCTCTCCTGTCGCTTTTCGGGCCTCTCGGCTGGCCGCGGGAGAACCCCAGAGAGATAGAGGGGAAGAGGCGAGGGGTTGGGCGAACGGCGACGAGAACGACGACGACGACAACGATGATCACGACCGCGACGACGACAAGGAACGTCACGACAGCTACGATGACGTCGAAGACCACGTCGGCGGCGGCGCCGACAACAACAACGGGATTGACGGCGGCGGCTGCGACGACACCGAAGACGCCGACGGCAACGACGACAGCGTCCACGAGGACGCGATGCTGCCAGGCGAGGCGACCAGCGCCGCGGCGCCTCCTTCTTCACCTGCGTCGTCGCCGACAGCTTGGCGACCTCCTGCTTCGCGCAGGCGCGCGCGGCGCGGCCGCTTGCAGGGACGGATAGTGACATAGGAGGGCGGCGCGTCTGAGAATGATGGCGATGACGATGATTCCGGGGACCCTGTCAGCAAGATTCGCCAGGAACGGAAATGTGAGAAGGGGTGGTATCTGAATATATTAAAGTGTGGTAAAGTTCCAGGGTGACATAAATAGATGATGTGATGTATGGTATAATTGTGTACAGTTATGGTGGTGTGTATCGTAATGTATGAGGGGACGGGTGGTGATATCGTGTATGGTGAATGTGTGGATGAAACATAATCGTACTACGGTGTATGTGATGATGTAGTGCCTGGTGTCTGTCTGCAGGCACTCTCTCATGCGTGTGGCTCAATGTCGTTGCATTGCATTGCTACTGCACGCTGCGTTGCGGCATTGCGTGTAGTTGCATTGCGTCGCATCGTGAAGCATTGCTGCCTCAAGTATGGCGGTACTTGCATTTCCTACGCATTGCAAGCTACTGCGTTGCAGCGCGTTGCACTGGCAAGTGCTGTCCATAACTGTGCCATGGGCCACCTCCCCCTGTGTCCCGCAAGTGTCATTGCGAGCAGAGCAAAGCAGCGGCTGTCCCCAGTGTCACGCATGCGCGAACGTCCTTGTATCCAGTGTCATTGGCATTGTGCAACCTTGCACTGCTGTGCTTGAACTCGCCTCAAGGACACATACTCTCCATCGGCATGGCTGTCCAGAGGCTCAAAGAGGATATCGCCTCCTTCCTCGCCGACCGGAAGATGATGGAAGGCATGCTGACAAAAGGCGTCGTGACCCACGCTGACGCGGCCGCCCTGGTACTGCGCATTCTCGGACACGAGGACGCGCAGGGCCCCCTTTCCAAGAGGGGCATGCGAGAAGCCATCCGCAAGTACGCGGTGGCTCTCGCCGCCTCTCGAGATGATGCCCACAACCTCCGCATGGAGGCAGGGGCCTTCGAGGTCGACCTCTTCCCCAGTGTCTTGAGCGAGTTCGCGAAGGTCCACCTGTCGGAGCAGGACATGGACGACGTATACAACATGGCAAAGCCGCCGCCGCGGAAGCCAGCGAAGGTCAGGCGCTACACGAGAAGCGCGCCACACACACGCTGCCAGCGCCTCGTCGCGGGCGGCGCCGCCAGCAGCGGGGGCCATTGAGGACGTGCCAGCAGCCCACGGCGTTCTTGCGATGGCCGACGGCAGTCCCGCGGCAGCGGGCCCTGCACCTTGCATCGCTTACATGCAGGCCGACCAGGACGCGCTGGCAGTTCGCTTGGAGACACGGGACGAGGAAGTGGAGGCCCTCAAAGCAGAACTCAAGAAGACACAACGGAGCAGGGCTTTTTTCATTCAGAAGGCAGAGCGGCTCGAAGTGCAGCTCTACGATGCCAATCAGCACATCGCCGCCTTGACCGCCGCCATCAACTTTCGGCCAGGGCGCCACGTGACGTTGCACGGGGGGTATACCCTCGCCGTCAGGAGAAACGTTGGCCACGCCAGCACAATGGCAACACTGGCGATGATGACGGGAGATGGACCAGGGAGCATCAAGGACCCGAACACAGTCGTTAGCTACGAGCATCGCGCGGCTGCCGCGAAGGTCGTCCGCTCGGCGGCGTTCTACGACGACGCAATCGGCGACCTGACTGACCAACTCGAGGTCCACTTGCTGAAGTGCGACGGGACCAATGCGGAGCTCATCCAGAGGAAGAAAGTGCATGTGTCCACGGTGCACAGCTCCTTGCGCTGCCTCTCGCACGCGGTCTCCCTCAATGCTGGGGGCCCCACGCCAGAAAGCGTCGCTGACGCTGTGGAGAGCCAATGCATCACGGGCGACCTCCTGGCAATCGAGAAGGATGATGGCCCCGAGACGCACGCTTTCATGCTGACCCATCTCAAGTCCGTCCACTGCCCCACGTGGAGAGAGCGCGCGGCGGCGCCTCCCGAGAACCCTTTCTTTGCTTCCGTGTACATCTTCGGGGTGGACGCGGGCCCAGGGAACTTGGGCGCCCTGAAGAGGATCCCGGAAGATCTACGGGGTGCTCCCGACCGCGTCATGTTTTCTGCGGTGTTCTGCTTCATGCATCAGCTGCACCTGATAGTGAAGGACTTGCTGGACCGCACGGAGGGTTTCGACTGGGGGCCGCTGAAAGAAGGCAAGCGGTACTGGGGCACGGTTGCGACCGTCGCCAACGTCTGGCGATCGTGCGGGGCACCGACGCGCATCCACCAGGCTGCCGTGGACATTCCTGGCGGCGGCATTCATGTCGCGCACGAGTTCTTCGGGAAGATACCAGGGCGGCCTTTGCGCGGGCGCTGGGGCAGCGTGGCGGGGGCGGAGAAGCTCATCATGCGCGCCAAGACCTTTATCGGCGCAGTCTTCAGGCGGGCCTTCGGCAAGGACGAGGCGGGGCCACCGCCGTTAGCAAAGGCGAAGGCCAAGGCCAACGCCAAGGGGGCCGCCAAGGCGGCCGCCAAGAAAAGGCCCGCAAAGGTCGGCGAGGACGAGGAGGCCGCCTATAGGCAGCAACAGGGCGACTGGAGGGGCACCGCGGTCCAAATGACTGGCGATTCCATGTGGCTGGCGCTGGTTCACATATCCTACATCGCGAAGGAGCCCATCACCACGTACTTGTACTCCGCGCAGAAGAAGAAGGGTGAATATGAGAAGAGCGCTCAATCAGTTCAGCCCGCTGCATACCTCGGCCCAACCCCATTGTCCGACTTGGTCGCCAACGAGGGGGGGGGGGGGCCAGGGTGCACCGCGGGCTCCAGAATCTCCTATCGGACGAGGCACAAAGCGCAGGCGGTGCTTGGGAGCCCGTGTGGGGGCTACTCCCTGCGGGCGCGGAGCCTCGCGCCCGACTTCTGATTGTCACTCTCTTGTTGCGGGCGCTGGCGGGGTGGTCGGCGAGGATCCTCAAACGCACGCAAGAATTCCCCTTGCTGCTTCTCCGCGTTGTGGACGAACCCTGCGGCGCAGACTCTGCTGATCGCAGGGGGATTGCAGCCGCGCTTCTGCGACGGGAGAGGGGTGGCCTGACGAGCGTCAACGGCGACTTCGCGGCGAAGGTGCGCGACCTGTTCAGGGCCGACTGGGAGCAGATGCGGGCCTCTGGTCAGTGCGGCGCCAGGCTCTACGCGTTCTTGCTCGTCTGGAGAAGCCGTCTGCCCCACGATACGCAAGACTTGGAAGGGGCGAACTCGGTGCTCCAGCGGATGGCAAAGTTGGCGCCCAACCTTCACATCCCGCTGGCCTCAGACCGCCTCCGCCTCAAGCTCGGGACACCAATTGCGGCTTCCGATTGCGTGGACCTTCACCCAGCCATCATGGGCCACATCGGCAAGCAGGGGTACCAGGATCGATTCCAGCCGCACGTGGTTGCAGATATGCCAGCAGGGGCTGACGCGCCGCCGCCGCCCGCGCTGCCGCGCTACGACGCCGCAGTTCGGGCAGCCGCGAGATACGCCCATGCCGCGGGGCCGCTCATGCACGACTTCGTCGACACGGCGTTCACGTTCTCGGAGGACGCGGGTGGCGAGAGGGTGGCCTTCTTAATGTGCTGGAGCTACCATTCGAAAGTGTCCTGCGCCACTGGCAAGCTGCGCCCGTTGGAGGACGGCTCGCAGTTCTTCCACTTAGACCGCCCCGCCCGCATCGTGCCGCTGACGGAGGACATCGGCGAGATGGCGATGATCGGTAAAGGCAAGGGCAAAGCGGGAGCCCACGCCGTCTTGGCCGTCCGATCAGGCCCCCTGGAATGGGTATCGCTGGACCGCGCCAAATTCGGCGATGAGGCCGTTATCGAAGTCAAGCCGAAGCCGCCCAAGAGGGACCGCCACGGACGCCCACTCGACGATGGCCTCGAGGACTTCATCGGGGCGGCGATGGGTGACGTCATGGAAGATGACGAGGACGAGTACGCGGGGCCCATTGGCGGCGGCGTGGGCGTAGACGACGAGCTGGGGGCGAAGCCAGAGGATGAGGAGCTCGACGACGGGGGCCAGGTCATTCCAGAGCCAGACGACGCCCCCGATGCTCACATCGGACATGGGCATGGTGGCGATGACCACGGCCACGGCGTCGATGACCACGGCCACGGCGGCGACCCTCACGGCCTCGGACACGGACACGCCGATGGCGACGGCGCTGATGGCCACGGCGACGGCGACGATGCTGTGGGCGGCGGCGAGGGCCCTGGTCCTGCACCTGGCACTCCCATCTCTGGCACCATGGCGGCCAAGGAGAATAAGAAGCTGATGCGTGCTCGCAACGCCGCTGTGCGAGCCCTCCGCAACGCCCACGGCAACGCTGATGCCAGGAGGGGGTTGCCAATGGGCATAGGTGACATTGGTCTGGTAGTAAAACCAGACGGGAGGTGCTCCTTTGTGCTCTGGACAGATCCGCTCAGGCGGAGGGCCAGGCCAGTGCGCATCGATCCTCGCGGCCGCCTCATTTCGATGATACACTTTGCGCAGCCTGAGGATGATTATGCCGACGCTGAGGTCGTGGTTGGAAACGCTGGCTTGGTCCAGCCCTACAGGAAGCGCCCGCACGAGCGCCCCGATGTCGATCCATGGCTGTTGCTGCTGCAACAAGAGAGGAACACGGGGTTCAGCTGCGGGCCGCTTGCTCTGCAAGACGACAACCCCACGCAGTGCGTGAATTGCGCCTGCAACCCACCAGAGGAGCACGTCCACATCGTCGTCGGCGACGCGGTCCCTGTTCTCTGGTACAGATGCCAGGCGTGCTTGTGCCTTTGGCATAACTGTTGTGCCCACCGTTATTGCGGCGACGCCGTCGACTTCAACGACTTTGTATGCCCCGCCTGTCTTCCATGATTCCTTCGAAGAAGGCGCCTTTGGAAGGTTGCGTTTGGTTAATGGATATTGTCTTCCCCAGCATGCAAAGGCTACTGGGTATCCATCATATGCGGTTTCCAATATTGGAGTTCGCCGCAATTTTGTCAACGCATCATGTTTCACATTTGCGACCCCCTCGTGTGGATAGTGAATGTACCGTTCTGGTGTGTACTGCGCGTGTATGGATGGTCCCTACGGGCAACGTCAACTTCTGCGAATTGCACGCTCCAGCTCACTGGCGTTCGCAAGGTGTCCAGCGCCAGCTCCTTCTGCGAGGACACTCAGCATTGACCGGCCCCTTTCTTGCCGCCACCGCTGTCGCCTGTGTGAGAGAGGGGGAAGGGGAGCAACCCAGAAGGAAGAGGTGCGTCGAGCTTGGTTCGGTCTCGTTTGCTTCCTCGCCCCAGACCGTTGTCTGAGCCGCCACTTCCCACCAAGCAACCCCGCGCCACCGCCCCTGCAATAAGTGCACGCCCGCCCGCAATCAGAACATCCAGTCTGGGGCGACCCGCCGGCAGATCTCCGCAGCGCGAAGGCCGCCAGGAGGGGTCACGGCGCCAGGGCCCGCGTGGGCGCGTGGGCAGGACTTCCCTTGGTCGCGCGTAGGCACCAGGTCTAGTGGGCCCAACGAGTTTGGATCCACTAGGCCGGCTGCTTCCGCACGAAGGTTTTGGTTCGTGGGTTTTAGAGCCGTTTGGCTCGTGGGAGGGCATGGGCAGTACGAGGGGGGCAAGTAGCAGGAGGACGGCGGTGACGAGGAGGGCGGAGACGATAGCGAACACAACGCTTGCGGAGGAAGAGAAGAGGAGGAGGAGGATGAGGAGTGGAGGAGGAGGAGAAACGGAGGAGGAGGAGGAGGAGGAGGAGTGGAGGAGGGGCAATCACGTGTTAGCGCGGTAGCAACAGTGAGAAGGCTTGCACCAACGCTATTGTCTTGAAATCGCGTTCGGCTCCCCTGCTCAGCATGGCCGCCGCCCCGCTTGCAATCGACGAGGTTTTCCCGATGTGTGCCGACGCAAGTTGCTGCGACATCCCTTTCCTGTCATCTAGCTGAGCGCGCTGCCAGCGTTGGGCCGCGTTGAGTAAATCAGGCCATCGGAGTATCACAGGCGCAGCCTTTCCCACCAAAGCCTTGCCCCTCCTTGTGCCCCGAGCCATGCCGTGGCGAAGTTCAACGTAGATTGCCCGAGCGACGTGTGCTTCACAGGGCGTGGCGTCCTCGAGCACATTTGTCTCCTTGAGCTCTCACAGTGGGCCCCGCATGTCCCTTCATTGACCGCCCCAGTGACCGCCGCATCATCCGTCGTCCTGTCTCTCCTTTCAGCGCTTGGGAGGAGCACTATATTTCGACATCGTGATTTACTGCCTCCCGGGATGGCTCTCAGCAAGCTTGATACGTGCGTGGAGGACCGTTGGTGCCCGCGCGCGCCTTTTGCCATGCATGTGCACGCGCACGCGCGCGCGCCAGCATATCGCGCGCGATTGTGCACGAGCAAGGGCGTAGCGCGCGCATCACATTCCACGACCCTTCCAGAGAGCATGCGCGTTGTACGCGCTGGCCTCCTTTAGATATGCGTATTTGCGCATAGCCCAGCTCGCCGCACACAAACTAGGTTGGGCGCGGACCAGCCCAGGCGGAGTATGACTTCCTGAGGAGGGAGGTGCGTCGAGCACGCGTGGGCTCGCCGCTGCATCTGCACATGCCCGCGTAGTGGCCAGCGATGGCTGTTGTTGTGGTGCGGCACCGCCTGGGCCGCAAAGTGCACGCGCGACGCGTGGCCTCGTGCGCGCGTTATCTTCCTCACTAGGGCGGGGCTGCGCAACGCATGCACTCTGCGCAGCTGGAGCCATCGGGCGTCGGCGCTGGGTCGGGGCCCATCGCCAATCGGCGATGGGCCCTAGCGGGGCGGCGCGCCCATCGGCAATCGGCGATGGGACCGCCGACCCGTTGGGCTCCATCGCGGATCCGCGATGGGCCGAAGTCTGCGTCGCGCAGCGCCGAAGCGGCGGGCCCATCGCCAATTGGCGATGGACGATGGCGCCCAACGTCGCAACGCGCATGGCTCGGAGAGTGCGGGCGCCATCGCCAAATGGCGATGGGGACTCGCGGCGCCATCGCCATTTGGCGATGGGGGCACGTAGGTCGCCATCGCCATTTGGCGATGGGGACACGGGGCGCCATCGCCAAATGGCGATGGCCCCCTTGCGATCCCATCGCCGTTTGGCGGTGGAGGTCTAAGGTCCCATCGCCGATCGCCGATGGTGTGCTCGCAGTGTCATCGCCGATCGGCGATGGGCCCCTCGACGTCCCATCGCCAAATGGCGATGGGGCCTTCAGTTCTGGGCCTGCCCATCGCCAAATGGCGATGGGCCAGGGGGCCCATCGCCAAATGCTGATGGGCCCCTCTGTGGCCTCCAGGGACATCGCCAATTGCTGATGGGGAGGCTGGTTTTGAGAGATTTTGGGCAGGAGCTGGAGCAAAAAAAAAAAAACAAAAAAAAAAAAACGAACACACGACATGCACGCGCAAAAACACGGGCGACAAATAAACGAGAAAAGCGTTCAAGTAACCGCGGAAGTTATTTCGTTTTGTTTTTTTTTGTTGTTTTTTATGTTTTTTTGTTTTTGTGTATTCGACGTTTTCCCATAAACAAAAAATGAATTATGCATTGGCTCCTAAACCACCACATACATGTGTTTGTTTATGTGCCCCTGGCCGCTCGCATACGAATGTGTATACTCGAAACGCGCGCGTTAGGCCTGCATGTTTGGAGGTGTCGTTTTCTGATGTTGTGGTGGCGCTGTCTGGGTACCAGCGTGCATTCGTTGTCACGTTGTTTCAGAGATGTGGTTTCTCGGGTTGTGCTCTTTGCATGCGCTTGCTACGTGATTAAACTTGAAGCCTTTTCCTTTGTGGGCTCGTCGATGTCCGTCGCGCCCGCCTCTCCCGCCAGGAGCGCTACGGCCCTGGCCTCAGCAAGATAGAGTACGTGGAGCACATTGACCACGAGTTCAAGATCTCCGGCGACGCAACGGTGAAGCTGCTGTACAAAGGCGAGTTCACCATCGTGGGGGGGGGGGGCGGGGCCGTGCTAGGGACGACTGGCGGGCTTGCCCGCGCGCGCGGGGAGGATGATGGAGATGAGAGGGGGCAGGAGGTCGAGGAGAGAGATGAGGAGGACAGGAGATGGAGGAGGGAGGACGGATGTCGATTGATTCTTTCATCAGTTGGCATGTGCCATTGTATTTCTGCAGTGGCCTTTGCACTCTGCATCTCGCTGTTGGCGCATCTCTTTGCGTCGCCGAGTCCATGTGGTGCTGTGGCTCCCTTGTACACATTGCCGTGCACTGCCCGTGGCCGTAGAGGCACGTTGACCATGGTTTGCTGCTAGCGGCTGGCCCAACACCGTCCACGATCGCGCAACTCATAATGCTTTTTCCGTTGTGGTCCGCGTCGGCTCGCCTGCGATCCAGGGGGAGAGGCGAAGATGTATCGGCGCGAGCGCTCAACATATATCACTTCTGTTTTGTTGTCCCAAGGCGTGTAATTTGTGTTCCTGGATTCAGTATTCAGCACCTTCCCCAAATTGTCATTTCCATTTCAGTGCGTCCTAAGCTCCATCACCTTTCCGCTGGCTTGGCTCTGAACGTGCGGATGGGCGGGGCAGTCCAGACATCCTTGGAATGATCGCGGAGATGAAGCCAGTATATTGGACCGCAAACGTTCAGTTGAACAGGTTGGTTTATTGTGGGAGAACAAGGGCGGGGCTCACTTGATTCAAGAGCCAGATGAAAGTAGAGAGGCGGGGCGTTGGGTTCAGATTACGCACTGTATCTTTGACAAACACATGCATGTATGTAATCGTCGATCCGGAGTCTCTGTGTTTCGAACTGTCATGCATGCGCATGGCAGTAGTGCTTGTGTGTGTCTGTTTGATGGTTTCGTGACTTTCGTTGCTTTAGCATCGCCTGCCCCTCCAGCACGGATGGGTATCGTGTCGGTTGCGAGTCTGGAGTTGCATGATCCCCTACGGGTTCACTCCGAGGTGATTTTTTCTCTGAGGGATATAGAGTTACACTTTTGCAACGTGCTTGGCGTAGCTTGCCCCATGAAGCTTGCTAGAGTTAGGGTCGGTCATGCATC